TGTGTGTATATGTGTGTGTATATGTGTGTGTGTGTGTGTGTGTGTGTGTGTGTGTGTGTGTGTGTGTGTGTGTGTGTGTGTGTGTGTGTGTGTGTGTGTGTGTGTGTGTGTGTGTATGTATGTATGTATGTGTGTGTGTGTGTGTGTGTGTGTGTGTGTGTGTGTGTGTGTGTGTGTGTGTGTGTGTGTGTGTGTGTGTGTGTGTGTGTGTGTGTGTGCGTGCGCGCGTGCGCGTGCGTGTGATATCTATCTATGTATCTATCAATGGGACATGAAATAATCAAGTTAATACACACCCATATAATTTCATTTTATATTAACCTCATTGATAAGAAATGGGAGGAATGAGGAAATAACAGCGAAAGGCTGAAACCGAAATAATAATAGAAAAAAGGGAGAGAAAACAACAGGAAAAAGAGCGAAACATGTTCGAAGAGAAAAAAAACAACAACTGAGAAAGGAAGAAGCGAGAGGTAGAGACCGAAAACGAGAGTAGCCAAAATATAGAAATAAGGGGTGAAACACGCACAAAAGAACGACGTGAGAGAGGAAGAGAAACGAAGAAAGTAAGGGAAAGGAGAAAGGAGAGAGGAAGGGGGAAAACCCGACGTGACAAAGGCCTGCTCATTGCTCACTTCCATTGCATGCGGACATCAGTGCCACACACGCGACTCAACGTATGCCAGATAATCATGTTTACATTATAAATAATAAATTTTATATACTTGTTTACATTATTTATCTATTTTTGAGTCACAGCCAACGAAAAATAATTACCTTAAAAAATGACAAAGGAGAATTATGAAATTTCTCCATAATTACACACTCATACCTTCGTGCCAAGAAAAATAAACAAAAGGGGCACTGAAATCTACCATAACAATATCACGAAGTACGATAAACATTCCGAAATATAATGAATTAAAAAGAAAAAGCATCTTCTCTCTCACGCCAATGACGTTCTTTTTCATGAATGTATGTAATGTTTGTAAAGTATGTATGTGTATGTGTGGATATGCGTATATGGTTATGTATATGTGTGGTTATGCGTATTTGGATGTGTGTATGTGAGGATATGTGGATATGGATATGTGTATGTGTGGATATGTGGATATGCGAATATGGATATGTGTATGTGTGGATATGCATATATGGATGTGTATATGTGGATATGCGAATATGGATATGTGTATGTGTGGATATGCGTATATGGATATGTGTATGTGTGTGTATGCGTATATGCGTATGTGGATGTGTGTGTGGATCTGTGTATATGGAAATGTGTATTTATGGATATGCGTAAATGGATGTGTGTGGGTATGCGTATATGGATACGTGTATGTACGCATGTGGATATGTATGCATGTGGATGTGCGTATATAAGAATGTGTGCACGTGTGTAGGCGTGCTTGTCCGTGCTTGCGTGCGTGTTTGCGCACGTCGAGCGTGTTAGCTAAAGAAAGGACTAGTGCATTCGTCTTTCTCCGGGACAGCCAAGGTGGTCTTTGAGGAGCTATAAATATATAAAAAGTGGGAGTCCTGAATGCTGTGATGATTGCGGAAGGCACGAAGGAGGCCACGGAATCCGCCAACACATTTTGGGATCATTTTTTTTCTTTGCGAAAAAATATGGAATTGCCTTGAAAAATCTGGAGTTCATTCCCTCTCCCTCCGTGTCTACTTTGTTCTTATACATGCACACGCACAGAAATTGCGCAAGGATACATGCAAATCAGCACACACACACACACACGCGCGCGCACACACACACACACACACACACACACACACACACACACACACACACACACACACACACACACACACACACACACACACACACACACACACACAAATCAATAATAAGAAGAAAATAAATAAATAAAACACAACCTACTTTTAACATTTGACATTTAGCCCCCAAAACACATACAACTTTAACTTTGTGCAAAATACGGTTATACTCCCTAATTATCGCGTGAAAACGAATCACCAACACGAGAACCGCAATCAGAATTACAGATCTCTCTGCAATAACAGCAACGAAAACCTGAGTCGCCCCCCCCCCCCGACTGCCGAATCATCACAGGCAGAATCGCTGCGTGTTATCTCTACTTTATTCCTCCCTTCGTCTCTATGGCTTCTGTGCAAAATGTCCAGGTGGCGCTCCATCTGCCGTCAGCTTAGCCCGAGAGTTGTGCATGACATCCTGACATCCAAGGGCTTCCTCTTCCTCTCTTTCCCCCTGGTACCTGCAGGCCTTCCGCGCATGACAATATCTGCCAGTGAAGGAGCGTCTTCGTGCCAGTAGCTCATCGAATTCAATGTTTCTAATCTTATCATCTTATGACCGTGATGAAAGGCCTTCCTGGATTGTATTATGGATAATAATACTAAAACAACAACAACAATAATAATAATAATAGTTGTAGTACTGGTAATAATAATGATGATGATGATGATGATGATGATGATGATGATGATGATGATGATGATGATG